AAAAAAAAAAAAAAAAAAAAAAAAAAAAAAAAAAAAAAAAAAAAAAAAAAAAAAAAAAAGGAAAAAGGGTATTATAGGCATTTAGAGAAAAATGTCATTATCAGAGAGCTTGGCCGAAAATCCCATCTCCAACCCCACCGTTCCGCGTCTCTCTTTCATTCTCTCTCTACCAGTAAAAAACAACTGTGGGTTTCTTTCTCTCACTTCGTCTTCCTCTCTCTCTCTCTCCCTAGAAATTCTAGCTGGGAATTTTTCCCCGCCATTCGATCGACCTTGCTACGACTAGATAATTTGAAGGAAATTTTGAAGATTTTGTGAAAATGGTGTTGCACAACTATCCACTGTCCGATCCCCTCTGCTCGATCTGTTTCTGACACTGAATGTACCACCGCCTGTGAGACTCTGTGGTCCTTAATTTTCCTAATTTTCATCCTCATTATGATTTTCTTTTCTTTTCTTTTCTTTACCTTTCAGGAACCTCTTTGAAATTGCCCTCAATTTGGGAGCGGTTTCCGGATTTTGTTTCATTCTCTGATTTTGCGTTTCCCTGGGGTTTCCTTGGAGTCTGAGAGGGATTCTGTGTTGTGCGTTTCTTCATTTTCGGTTAGTATTTTGTTTAGTGTTGTTTATCTGTAAGTTATGCTGCTGAATCTGTGTTAAGATTTAGATCGGAAAGTGGTAGTTGTTTGAGAGTAATTTTTGTGGATTTGTCATCTAATGTTGCGAGGCTCATTTGATTGATTTGAATGAGTAGGAATGAGCAGGAATTTGGGGTGTGGTCTTGGAAATGCCGAAACATAGGATGAAATGAGTCAGACAGAAGTATCAAGGATTAAACCCCCTCTCGTTCCGCTTGCTACCTTGATTGGTCGCGAGCTGAGGAACGAGAGGGTTGAGAAACCTTTTGTGAAGTATGGACAGGCTGCTTTGGCAAAGAAAGGAGAGGACTACTTTCTGATTAAACTTGATTACCACCGTATTCCTGGAAACCCTTCTACTGCATTTTCTGTTTTTGCGGTATTGTTTCCTTTCATTAACTTTTTGTTCTCTTAGTTATCTAATACTTTAGTTATTGTGCTACTTGAGTTCTATGATTACTGAGGAACTGGCTTCTATTTGCAGATTTTTGATGGGCATAATGGCATATCAGCCGCTATCTTTGCAAAGGAACATTTACTGGGTAATGTTTTAAGTGCAATTCCTCAAGGGGCCAGTCGAGAAAAATGGCTACAAGCCCTTCCTCGAGCATTAGTTGCTGGTTTTGTCAAAACTGACATAGAGTTTCAGCAAAAAGGTATGTAGCATGTCGTCTGTCTATCGGTGTTCTTCTTGAATACACAATGCCATTATGTCACATGTAATCTTATCTTACTTGCAGGGGAAACTTCTGGAACTACTGTTACATTTGTTGTGATTGATGGGTGGACTGTTACAGTGGCGTCCGTGGGAGATTCACGGTGCATATTAGACACCCAAGGAGGTGTGGTTTCTCTATTGACGGTTGATCATAGGCTGGAGGAAAATGAGGAAGAGAGGAAACGTGTAACTGCGAGTGGTGGTGAGGTTGGGAGGCTCAATGTTTTCGGCGGCAATGAGGTTTAATTTTATGCATCTCTGCTGACTCTAGTCATACGTGATAATGTTTTTGGGCCCTTATGTGACTTCCATTTACAGGTCGGTCCTCTCCGCTGCTGGCCTGGTGGCTTATGTCTTTCTAGGTCCATTGGTGATACAGATGTAGGAGAATATATTGTCCCGATACCGCATGTTAAGCAAGTGAAGGTGACCTCTCAATCTATCAGTAGTTGTTCGACTACTTATTCAGAACGTGCCTTGACTGAATACTCTGCTATGTTTTCCTAATTGGTTATGCAGCTTTCTAATGCTGGCGGACGACTAATAATTGCTTCTGATGGTATATGGGATGCTTTATCGTCTGATATGGCTGCAAAGTCTTGTCGTGGTTTACCTGCAGAGCTTGCTGCTAAGCTAGTTGTGAAGGTGAGTTTCAATTGTAGACCTTAATGGTATGGTATGGTATGGGATCAATGTTCTAAAAGGCTTTGAAGGTTTTTTATTCCTTGAGGCAAGACTCAATGTTTCGATCTCGAACCATAGGTCTTTTTATGATGATAAAAACTAAAAGAACAAGCTGATTCTGTTTGTGTGTTTAGATTCAGGATTACTTACACCTCAGTTCTTATAGTGAAAAAAACTGCCCTTAGCCTTTTGGAATATTCATAGGAGTTTCATTTCTTTTCAATCCTGTGAATATTTTGATCGGCTCGTATTGTAGGAGGCTCTGCGGTCGAGGGGGTTGAAGGACGATACAACTTGCTTAGTTGTTGATATCATACCATCCGAGCAACCTATATTATTACCACCAACTCCAAGGACGAAGCAAAATGTGCTCACCACACTCTTTGGGAAGAAATATCAAAACTCTTTGGGCAAATCTGCAAATAAACTTTCTGCTGTTGGAGTGGTGGAGGAATTGTTTGAAGAAGGTTCCGCTATGCTTGCTGAAAGGTATAATTGATGCATTTCTTCTTTCTTTTGTTTATTCCCTCTTGCTCTTGAAGCATGGTATGTTGTCTGAGCTCGGCCGACGGTTTCCTAGGATTATTCTATTCGCTTGGTATATATCGTACTTCAATAAACCAAATAATATCATAGTGTGGAGTTTAACTTGGACTCTTGGTTCTTCCTAACTTGTTATATTGATAGAAATAGTGGTATTAAGATAGTTTCCTAGGATTGTTCTCTTCATTGTAGATTTATATACTGTAATTAACGAAAGACCTTCGATTTTCTTTGGTTGTCGAAAAATTTATCTCTGTTCCTAACTGTTATATTAATAGAAAACTGGTGAATTCTGGTGTAATTATTGTAATTTCTGTCCAAAAGTGACTTGAAACATGTTCACTTATAATGGAAATGCAGGTTAGGCAAAGATTTAGCGTCAGATCCAAACTCAGGGATCTTCAAATGTGCAGTTTGTCAAGTGGATCAACCCCCAAATGAAAATTTGTCGATGAATTCGGGGCCTTTCTTTTCGCCATCGTCAAAGCCATGGGAAGGTCCGTTCCTCTGTGCAACATGTCGAAGAAAGAAAGACGCCATGGAAGGAAAAAGGGCGACAAAACCTACAATAACCGTCTAGTAATTTATCCATCCCATAACATAGTATATGTTGATAACTCCATATAATTTTTTTTTTTTTTTCCCCTCATCTGGCAGTGTGAGCATGCTTGTTTTTTTGGCTTTCCCTGTGGTGATTGTTATAGATGCGTGTAAGAAAATGAGAGGGTTGAGATAAAAAAGAAAGAGTTGGTAGAAGAAGAAAGATGTTTTGGAGACACTTCTAAAAAGGTTGCTTTCATTTGGTTTCTTGCTCAGCTGTTGGACTGACTGACTGACTGACTGACTCACTCACTCACTCACTCACTCACTCACTCACTCACTGAGAAGATAGAAAAAACATGAATTTCAGAGAAATTTGTAGATTGCATAGTGTGATTGTTCCATTGTCTTAGCATTCTATATCAACATCTGCTCTTCAAGTTCGCTTCATAATTTGCAACCATGTCATAGCCATTGCTTCAATTATATAATTTTTCTTGTTACTCAAGACTTTGCTAGTTTCCCTTTAAACCCGCCTTAATCAACAAAATGAGAGAGAGACAGAGTACTGAAGATTGTGTTAGCATGATTTGAACGTGTTTCGGATGAAGACACCCGAGTTATAGGTTGGTAATCGGATTATCAAGTAAGCTTGAAAGGCTTATTGAATAGACTATTAACAGTAGAGTGTAGTTTGTAGGCAACTTTGTACAAGTAGATCTTAGACTCGGTTGAATAGGGTTTTAACAAATATTTAAGTATGCTTAATTTTTTTTAATTATTGAGTGTGAAAAAGTAATTCAATTCAAAACAAAAAACAACAATAAATCATCCTAATAGTTTTGAAATAAAATAGGAAAAAGTTGGAAAATATAACTGCGTGGTTCTGTCCAACTAAATCATAAAAACTTTGTAAGCAGAAAATGTAACAATAGTGGTTCTGTTGACTCTTTCCACAGTTCAATCTTGACTCTTTCCATGGTTCAAAGCCCCATCCCTACACCATTATTTTTATTATGATGTTGTTGTGAATAAAGGAAACCCTTTCAAAGTTTCAATTTTTTTTTTTAAAAAAATAATAGTTATATAATATAATAATTGTAATGTAACGATCCGAAATTTTCTACTTAATCTAAGGTCGCTATTGTATACATACTATAAACATTGAATGCGGAAAACTTCTTTTAAATTCCATAAAACATAACATAACCTATATCTTAAAACACAGTCATGGACTCACGTGTTTCGAAAACATCTTTAAAACGACAAAACAAAAGACTAAATAGAATAAATGAGAGTTTAAGTTAAAAACATCTTATTCTAGCCTAAGTCTAAGAAAATAAATACCACTATCCGATGTATGTGTCATGGTCTCGAATTGCAATGTCGTCGTCAGCCGTACATTGATGTATGTGTCATGGTCTCGAATTGCGATATCGTCGTCAGTCGTACATGAATGTTTTGCCTTAACTTGAAAAATATAGTAGCACATGACTTAAGTATTTAAAGAAATACTCAGTAAGTGACCCCACTATTGGGGTTAAATGCAACAATCATATGTAATGAAATGATGGAACCTATCTTTCATTTCGTTTCATTTTCACTACGGTGCTGTCCTAACGGGTAATCGTGGACGTGTATCATATACTCTACACACAACCCATACGTGCGAGTATGGGCTCACCAGCTAGTTCGCACACCGCTGGGTCATTTTCCTTATCCGGTGGGCATACTCTGAAAGCCCCTTATGCTGGAACCCGTTAGAACTAGTAACCGTCACGGCAGCGCTATGCAAAGCATAACGATCATTGTCCTGCCATTGGATGTACACGTCTGTACCCTCGTGATGGGATAGGGGTATCCCCTCAGATGCATGAACACACATAATGCATGAGGTTCCCACTACTTCTACAATTTCATTATCCTTTAATACAACCCCGCTAGCATTAAGTACATATCATATCATTTTTCATATCGTTTCAGATATTGCTCATCATTCATATCATATCGTTTCTCATCCTTCCGTTCTCAAATCATACATAATTCTAACGGGGTTATATTTCATGTCATTTATCGTAATTTCATGTCATTCATATCATGCTGTATACACACAATTTAAGAGACCTAACCTAACGTTCTATGTTTTTAACATAACATTTCATCATATACACATCATACCATGACATATTGCATCACAATGTATCATATCATAAACAAGTAATAACGTAAACACTTCATAGTCATATCATTCTCTAACTTATCATAGCCTTAACGTTCTTATACCTATCACAAACATATCATTACCAGAACTTAACCTAACGCTATCATTCTATCAATCTATCACAAACCTATCCCTTTTTACCCGTAACCTAACCATATTCTTCCATCAATCTCTCTTATCCATATCACTCCAGTATATAACCTAACCTTAACGTTTCGTGAACGTATTTACTCCTATCGTTACATTTCGTTTTGTGCATCTTTCTTGTATCCTATCTCAAACATATCCTTGAACACATCATACAGTAACTATTATCATACAATTCACATATTATAACATATACATAACATATAGGAAGCATATCAATTTACAAACAATTCACGAATATCAATATATATGACACGTGCAGAACCACAGGGCACGTGTCAACATCAAAATATAACCATGCCAATAGTAAGGTCACTTATCTGGCTAGCTTAAGTCGTTGTCACGAATATATCTTTAATTAAAGTTCGATTTCGTCCTTTGAAATTCGAGTCAACCTATATGAGCCCATGACATTAGTTTCATATTTGAACTCTACAACATTATTTCTCTAATTTACATTGGTCCATTGTTAAAAGTCTGAAATGTTATATATCTATAATTATATTTTTATTAAAAATCTTATTTTTCATAGGGTAGTATAAGAAAGTAGATACAGTTATTTCAAGTTATTCTTGGCTTTACTACTCTCTTTATTTACCTTATGTGTTTACCTTTCCCTTTATATTAGTCTGTGGTTTTTAATTCCCTAATCTTCTTTTTTTATCTGTTTCCTTCTATTCTCATGCATTCCAAATTTGTAGTGATCTCTGTTTCCAAATCTTTCCTTATCTCAGTGTTTCATGTTCAGTAGTTTTTTTTTGTCATTCTATCTTTAATCTATTCATTTCCCTGATAAAAATTTAATCTAATATTACTAATCTGACATGATTAACTAGAATCGTATAAATGAGTTACCTTTAGTTTCTAATTCAAAACTAGATCATTGTAATAATTGAATGAAGATCTCACTATAATTGGTTGTGATTTCTAAAAAGATAGAATAAAAGAAAATGAAGGTTTAATATATACATTATTGATAAGATTTATCTTCATCTCTGGCAAATCTCAACTGGGTAAAGGTCATTTTTTTTTTTTTTTCCTCAGACAGATAATTTTGGGAAGTGATGAGAGGTTAGTGGAAGAAATGGGAAAATGTTTTTTTTTTTTTTTTGTTTATTTATTTTATTTCTTTATTTCTTTATTTATTTTTGAGCTATTACATGTAATGACCATGGAAAATACTTCACATGACTGTGATCTTATACTTCACACGACTGTGATCTTGCAGGTCTCTTCTAAGGTCTTTAAAGTAAAATAATACAATTTGAAATAATAAAAATAACTTAAATAAAAATGTCTTATACTAACTTATAGGCTTACTAAATGAAAATGCAACAAACCTATACTAACATATAGTCTACTAATTCAAATTACGAAACTATTCTAAGCATGTGTCATGGTCTTCTATATTGTGATGCCACCGTCGGTCGTACAAGGGGAGCCTTGCATTTACCTGAAAAATAAGAGTAGCACATGATTTAAGTATTTCAAGAAATACTCAGGTAAGCAACCCCCCTAATAGGGTTAAATGCAGACACATACAATTTCATGAAATGAGACTTATCATAATGATCTATTTTCCTACCGCAGCTATCATAAACGAGCAATTTGAATGTGTACTTAATTTTCCTACACACGGTCTACACATACGAGTATGGTCCCACTAGTCAGTTCACACACCTCCTGGACCTCTTTTTGGTCGAGCAAGCATACTCTAGTAACTGTTGATGTCGAACACCTGTTAGGAATAGCGACCATCTTGGCAGCATTATGGTAAACATAATGATCGTTTCCTTACTTCGTAGCGTACACGTCCCTACTTTCGTGAAAGGAGAAGGGGTATCCCTCGATGCATGAACAGACAATAATGCATGAGGTTCGAACAATTTTCTATTTTCATTATCATATACTACAACCCTACTAGCGTCTTCCTTAATATCATATCTTCCATGTGTGTTTCGCGGTTGTATTTCATGTCAATTCATCATTTTATATGTCAATCATATCATATATCATTCATGTTGCACATATGTCATACTATAACATCCGAGTCCCAACGAGGTATTAAATACCTGATATTTAAAATTGAGCCCAAAGTTCTCAAATTTTATTGACAATCTTAAGAATGGAATTTCAAGATAACGTAGAAGAGAAAAATACTTAGAAAAGTCCCACAAACTCAAGAAAAATGTTGAAACATTTGAAAAATGGTCATAGTTAATACGGGAGGGGTATTTTGGTCATTCTTCCCCCTTAATTAGGTACCAAAAAATTGAGATGAGAGAAATGTAAAGAAAAGAAAAGGAAAGGAAAAAGAGAATCGAGAGAAAGGAAGGTTCTAGAGAGAAAAATAACCACCACAACTTTGATCTCGCGACGAGGAGTCCAATTTCGGCCGAGCCTCTTTCACAAAACCTTCACAGAACCTAGAGGAGAAGCGTTTGTTGGATGAAAGTGTCCCACATTGGTTAATTTAGGGAATGGTCATGGGTTTATAATCTAAGAATACACTCTCCATTGGCATGAGCCCTTTTGGGGAAACCTAAAGCAAAGCCATGAGAGCTTAGGCTCAAAGTGGACAATATCATACTATTGTGGAGAGTCGTGTTCGTGTAACATGGTATCAGAGCCATGCCCTACACTCAGCCGTGCCAATAGATTGACAAATCCTTGAATGTCGAACAAAAGACTCCAGAAAGAAGGAGTCAAGCTTCCTCGAAGGCAGTCAAAAATGACTAAGACTCATATAATGACACGTGCTCAATGGTCTTGCACGTGTTATATGTTTGATACGTTCATTGTGTTTATGGTATGTTGAATGATATGGATGTAATAAATGTATGTTCACGTGCATCGGGATATTGCGCCAAATGATGAGTACAGACACGTACATTATAAAAAGAAAGATGATCATCATGTTTAGCATAATGCTACAACGGTCGCTATTCCTTCTAGGTGTCCAACAACAGCACCAAAGACGCTAACCTGACTAGCATGAGGCCTAGGAGGTGGGCAAACCATCTGGTGGGTCTATAGTCGCGGTTGTGTGTAGAATAGTAAATACATATTTGATGACCTAAATTGGAAAGTCACCAAAAGAATATAGTTTTAAATGATAGGTTCATATTCATGATTGTATATATTTGTATTCCCTAACTCCAATATTAGAGTCATTTACCAAGTACTCTTTCCCATGACTTTGATGCGACAAAAGACTACAATGTTGGTTACTAGGTATATATACTCACTCGATTTAGAATATAACTGATCGCTTGTGGATGTATATAATAAAATGATGTAAAATTCACAAGAATAAGTGCAAGTATACACTATCACAAGTAGCAAGTAATAAGTAAATTATCGATTCCACAGGGAACCTATCTTTTTGGTTAATTTTATCGCTCGAAATTAAGTGAGTTTTTGGGTAACATTCAAATGGGTGTTAGAGATTTTAACTATTTAAACAAAACTAAAACAGAGTGTCACCGCTGTCGAAAAATAGAAAATAATGAGAAAATCAACTATAATGAGGAAGGTTCGGCTAAGAGAGATTAAATAGATAAGTTGTTGAGTTTTGTGGTAGATTTTAGTTTCTTTTAATAGATTCTCAAGCCACTTTTGAGGGTCATGAATGGTGATTATTTCCATAATCGTTGTAATTTCTATTAACAAGACTGTAGAATTCTAACCCTTCTATTACCCTTCAAGTCTCCTTGCTATGGAACTAGAGTATTAAAGAGGATTTCATTGCTTCCTCTCTTCTCCCGAATAAGAGAACAACTATGTATGTAAAGTAGCTAATTAAACATACATGTAAATCATTAACAACTCTTTAATAAACTAAAATCATACCGTCAACATACTTAAACTATATAAAACTCTCTCGCCTCCTCTATTAAGTTTAGCTCTCCATACAAACCGAATTAGACAGAGGAATCCGCATCTTCATCATGTAAAATTGATGGAATAAGGAAATAGAGAGTTATCCCGGTTTGTTGCCGTTCGTCAATGGAAGTTTCCTTCTCTTGAGCTCTCACGTCCACCTTTTTGCCCTAATCAATCCTTGTTGGTGCTGGATTAGGGTTTTCTCCACCTTTTTGCCCTAATCAATCCTTGTTGGTGCTGGATTAGGGTTTTCTTCTTCTTCTCTGGTTTCAGAGCAAGCTGATGTAGATTTATCATTTCCATATCATCCCCCATTTATTTTCAAATTCGCTACTCCCACACGGTTTAGCATAAGTGACTTTAATGTACCATGTATATTCCAATCCCCATTGTATGACCTTGTCACATGTATAGTTACTTTCTGAACAAATTTTGCTTCCCTTATTCTAACTCGTACAGTTTAAAGTCCACCGAGTTGCACCAAGAAAATTAGAATGGTTTCAACTCAAAAAGGGGGCAATTGATTTAAATAGACTCCATAAAAATGCTATTCAACACAACTTCCAACGCCCAACGCCTCAAGTACTTCATATCTGGCCTATATAAATTGGAACCCCCCCTGCAGTGTACTTTCATTAAATTAACAAAACAAAAACAACTCTTCCAACAATAAATTTTCTGCCACGTAAACATTAGAACACACAACTACAAATATTATTACACCCTTTTCCCTCCTGCTTCTTCCCTCTTCCTCTTCCTCCTTGCTTTCTCAATAGGACCAAAAACTCATCTTTTTTTTCTTTTTCCGAGAAATGATTTAGCATCCGATCAAACTCAAAATTGTTCTTCCTTCGGTTTGCCAGACTGCCACCACAATCAGCGCTCCGAGCCACCACGAGAAGGAACTCGAGACGACGACCACGACGACCTTGAACTTCCAAATGCAGCAGGTCTACGATCATCATTGCGCCAGCTACCTGGCTGAGATGGTCGATTGTCAGGCCTGCTGCTTCCCCATCGATCAGATTCAGGAGGTGGTGCATTAGGGCTGGAGCTCTCAGTCCGTTCACGTAGGAACCTTGGCACATATTTTCCTGCGGCCGGGGCTGCAGCCGCAGCAGCTGCAGCAGCAGGAGCAGTCCTAGACTCCTGAGGTCGAGAAGCAGGAGAAACATCGGGCCTAGCAGAAGCATCACCTGATTTGCCTCCACCAAAGAGCATTTCTTTCCGCAGTCTTTCTTTTTCTTCCAATTCGCGCTCTCTCTGCCTCTGTTTCTCAGCAATCTCATCCAATTTTGCCTTGCGTTCAGCTTCCTCCCTTTTCCTCCTTTCGGCTTCTACAAAGTTCAAAAAAGTGCAATGAGCAAAAGCAGACAAATGACGACTCCACGCTAATAATGTACATTATATTAAAACCTACGGATATCTTTGCAGAAGTTATTTCAACTCATGCTCTAAGTACCCCCCTCCCCCTCCCCCTCCCCCCATAGAAAACCATAAAACTTTCAACAAATACCTTCACGCTTGCGTGCTTCCTCCTCTTCACGCAATATTCTGATTCTCTCCTCTTCACGCCTCACATAAAAGATTTTCTTTCTCTTAGCCTCCCTTTCTGCTTTACGAGACTGAATTATTTGCCTGATCTGTTCTTCTCTCTCAGCTCTACGTTTGTTGAACTCCTCTTGGCGAAGACTGAGAACTCTTTCTTGGAAAATTTTCTATACAACAAAAGTTAAAAGGTTAAGTTTGATCAATGTGTCAAAAGTCAACAATTTCTGCGAACATTCATACGCTCAAGTTTCATTTCACAACATCAACGAAGTTTAGAATTATATTAAATAAAGAAAAAAAAAATGGGCACTGTACCATCGGATAAAAAAGTAATCATAGGCTCTCGTATACTTCCAACATACCAAACATCCTAAATTTAGAGCAGAGTTCTAGGAACTTACAAATTAAACCTGAAATGATCTACACATTTTTCAATCGAAGTACACTTAAAAAGTGAATCCTAAGAGTTAGCGAAGACAGATTATAAGTAATTCTATAAAGCCATATGAAACTACTAACCTTATCGACCTAAGCATAACTTAACTAATTAAGGCATATAGTCTCTACCAAGAAGTTTGAGTCCCTCTATGTACAAGTTGCTAATGTCCACACGTTAAACTAAAAAATATGAAAATAATAATAATAAATAAACTAACCTTGCTCTCCAACATTCTTGCCAATCTATTCTTCTCCTTCAGGTCACCTTCATGGCGCTGCTTGCTTAACTCGACCTCCAGCTGAAAAGCAGAAAAGGAACTCCATTTTATAATAAATAAACTTTAAAACACCCATTAAGTATTAACATATCATCAATGGTAGCAGGAAAAAACTGATAACAAAAACAAAATGAAAGCACAAAGAAAAAATTGAATAGGTGTAATCAATACAATTAAGTTAAATATTTGTCATAAGCACGGCATTGTAAGAATGGTATGTTGTGGAAGCCGCATGCAGGAAAATCATGACAAAATTACCCATCAAAAACATTAAGAGTAATACTTGACTGTGTTGAATTCACTAGATCAATAAGTCACGTGCAAAAGCATCTTCTTTTTTTAATACTTGAATATGTTGAATTCACTAGATCAATAAGTCACGTGCAAAAGCATCAGTTCATCTTTTCAAAGTTCACATAGGATCATGGTAAATACCAGCTAGAAATTCTCAAGAAACAGCACCCATAGTGTATTTGCAACTACCCTCTCTCTACATTAACTCCTACTCACATTATAAGAAGAATCTCCCTCTTTGATAAACTTGCAGCACTGACTGGCTCTAAAGTTACAATACATGCAATACTACATGTTGAGCAAAGACTAGGCAAGCCTCCTAACCACTCACTACTCTAAGTCTCCACCAACGTACTCAAAAGAACAAATTGAACAAAGATCAAAAGAGAAGCATTATCATAAGACTAACTTTATCCCCTTCTACTAATCACTATGGTTGGAAATGCTAGGACACATACAGAAGTTGAATAAAGTAATATTAAAACATGAGAAGAATAAAAACTAATTGGAGGCTTCAACACTTCTCGATTTAGTCTGAAGTGAAAAAGGAAGTTAAGGCCACAAAAATATATCGACCTTTTTTGATGCATAAAAATACCATAATTTGCTTATGTATTATTTAATCATACCATATGCATGTGTAGTTAATTACATTGCCAAAATGCACTAACAGATACAATTTCACGCATTGAGAATTAATAAAGAAAAAAGGAACATGAAAACTGCAGCCAAATACAGATATCATAGGCAAAGTTTCTTTAATATAATGAAACAATGATTCAGAAAGCAAGACCTGCTGATCACGTTCATGAATCATCCTCTCTTCAAGCAAACGTTGCTGAAATGCAGCTTCGATTAACGTTGCTGCCTCTTCTCTTTTTGCTCTTTCTAGATAATCCATAGTTTTGGAAAGCTTCTGCAATTTCTTTTCCATTTCCTGCCTCTCCCTTAATTGTTCAGTAAGGGCCAATTGCATTAAGGTTTGTTTAGTCAACTTTTCCTGGAGACATACTCACATGTTATTTATCGAATATACATCTATCAACAATAAGAAAACAAGTAACAAACAAAACTCACGGAATCAAGAACCGGCTTCCTGCTTCCCTTCTTTTTACCAACACGCTTTTCAGCTTCCTGGAGTAATGCCTGTGCTTCTTCAAGTTCTCGCTCTTCCATTTCCCTACGAAGCCGTTGACTTTTCCTTTGTTCATATTCTGCAGCAAGACGCTTCTGCTCAGCCTCTTCAGTTATCTTTAGTAATTTTAACCTTCTTGATTCCTCCTCACGTTCCTAAACACAGTTGATCACAATTTTTACAATTTATGAACCCCCAAAAGAACAATGTATAAGGCAATTCAAAGTGTAATGAGGGTACCATTTCCAAAAGTTGCCGTTCCTGCTCTTCCTTCCTTTTCTCAATTATTGATTTCCGAGCAAGAAGCCTCTTGTGCTCTTTATCAACAATATCTGCTAAATCAGGCAATATTTCACCTGTTTTTGATCTTTTCTTTACAGGAGGGTAGATCATGGCTCTTACTTTGTTTAGGGACTCAGCAAGCACAGTCAGGTGGTCCCGAAGCCCTTCTGATTCAATACCCTACATTGATTCATAAAAAATTAAGCTATAAACATCAGTTAACTATATACTGAGAAGAATACCATTGCCTAAATCCTTTATAAATATACAGAACAAGTTAGTCATTCTTCTAAATTCAACATAAATTAACTTTACAAAAATAAAAAAGCCGAGATAAAATCAGAAGGGCTCAATGCATAAAATTCAACAGCAGTAAAAAATCAATTGGGTCACACTATGATGTAAAATCAAATTATCTAACATGGCTCAAATCTCAGTGTCTTTTTTTTTTTTTTTTGTATATATCAGAGAAGGGAGAAAAAAGAAAAGAAATTTCAAATACCAAATTTCCAAATAAGACAATGTTCCTTGAATGATCGACTTTCATGGCGATGAAATTTTGTTTAACTGCGTCAACTAATATTTTCTCCACGGCAGAAAAATCAAAAAATGGGATCATCTGCGACAGACTCTCAATTTTCATAGTCTGGTACACATGGGAGACCTGGAAAAACATAGATAAATAAAGACTTCAGTACATTCTAATTTAAATGTTATTAAACAATGTTTTTCTTTATATATAAGCAATGGCTTGGCGAAGTTTATAATATATAAAATATATAAGTACCTGCTGAAGTAGCCTCAGGGTAGCAAGTTTTTCAAGAGCTGGAACATATTGAGACAATTGCAATTCGGGTACAGATGAGGCTGATGAAAGCTTACCTCCAAGCTTAGATATTTTTGTGAACAACGGTTGCAATTTTAATGCAAGATCGAGAGGGAAGAACTCATGCTCCAAAAGATGATAAAGATCTTTAATTTCCTGAGTTGCACAGCTCAGGACTCCTTTAGACACCTAAACAAAAGCACAAATCTACTAAGAAAAGAGAACAAAAGTTATTGGCTACATACTTGAAGTTGTCAGAAATATGGAAAAGTGAGAAAGAGAAATTAAAGATCTTCTGCTTAACAATTCAAAAGAATGTGAAGCAATCGAAGTATCATAAATTTGGAAGGCAGAAGGGAAAAGACAACAAAAATGTCCAAGTCAACCAAGTCAAACATACCAGTTCAGAGAGAAGATTTTCCCTCGAAAGCTGGAAAAAAAAAACAGAAACAGAGAAGAGTAAGGCAACATGCAGGTTGTGAAAAATAATAAGTTAAAACCAATTAAGCAAATGCATTACCACATCTCTACTTTCAAGTTTGGAGTCTAAACTGAACCCTATGAGATTAGCCATCCTCAAACTGCGCTCTTTCTCATGTTCCAGTTCTAAATGTGATGCACCATGCTTGGAGTCATAGGGGGGCACTGCAAGAGCTGCTAACACAACAGATGATGCTATCAGCTGTAGGTCCTTCTGGCTTAGATTTTTGTTGAAACTCTTCTGAAGGGAGAAAAGTTTAAGCCATGCATAGGCATGATAAAGATTACTATCCGATATCCAGAAGATCTCTGTTAATTTGACGTAGTAAACCACCATCAACGATGGCTTGGGTGTTTTCTTCACCATACACATCAAACCATGAATATCTTCCACAGAACGAAAAGCTTCCTGCAAATAATGGTAAGAAGGAATCATTTGAATTGCATTATTCATAAAAGATAATCAAGATATGAATTGTAGGAATCTAGACATTACTTCCTCTATATGAGGGAGAAAAATTAAAGAACTGAAAAATTCAGACCTGCCAGAGTTCAAGCTCCGTGGCAACCTTCAGCTGTTCAAATCTTGTGTCAAGGTACAACTGCAAGCTCTCTGGAGCAGATAGGTCAGGCCGATCTCTTTGGTCTCTATACTTGTTGAGGTTAGCAAGATGATTTCTGATAATTTCACATAATCTGCGAAATTCTGTTGTTCTTTTGTACAGCTTACAAAACTGGAAGGCACGATGAGCTGTCATCTACAAATGAAAAATGCCAGAAGAAATATTAGATCTTGGTACAAAATCCAACCTGGTTCATCCAGTCTATAAAGAGCACAGAACACATCAAGGACAATAAAAAAAATCAGATCCTTATAAAATTAATGTCCAATCTGAGCAAGGCACAAAATCTTGTTTCCTCCTCTTTGAAAAATTATAAGTAAAAAATGAAATTGTGAAAGTAATCCTATGAAAAGCCAACATGCCCAACAAGGTTCAACACTCCATTCCTCAATCTTCATAACATTAACTAATTAATTCATAGCCTACATATTACCGCTAAAAAATCAAATACTTATGGCAAAATAGTTCCAAAAAAAAACCTAAACATATCTCCCAGGTACAGATGCAAAGAAGCTTTCTTAAATCCTACAACCATCAGAACAATTAGCAAGCGAAATTAAAATTTGACAAGATTTCAACAACCACCCCCACACCCTTATCATTTATCAGTAGATATAAACTGAAAAATTAACTCATACACCAAATAGCTGACAATTAAGGTATGGCCTACCGCATAAAGTGCTTCCAACTTTGAGTTATTCCTTAGTATCTCAAGAACTGTTCGATATGTCTCCCATAGAAATTTAAACCAAGGGGTAACAAGTTCGCGGTCAGATCTGTCCTTTCCTTTCTCCCCACTGACATAACTAAGCATCAGATCTTCTGGCCTTTTATCGGCTTCCAAGTCATCAACATCAAGAGCTTCTTCTAATGCTTGAGCTTGACTACGAGCCTGCTCTGCCTTCTCAGTGGAAAGATGCATAAAGTGCTTGATTACTTCCTCTAAAGAAGTAACATTGACTTGCTGGCAAACAATACGGTACTGAATCAAACCATCCTTTGCAAACCTTCCTTTCCTCATGTCCACACAAAGCTCAACATACTTAAACATAATCCTTTCAAGAGGTTTCTGCCATGCTCTATATTTCTTTGAAGTTATAAGATCATGAAGAGCTTGCAAGGCATCCTGCTTCTGGCCAACATTTATCAGCTCTGGATAAATGTAAGGAGAAAAAATATATTAATGCTAGCGACCTTTCATTTCCCAAAAAACCAGTAAACACAGCATTCATTTCAAAGTAGGGTGAATACAACGTCAGTGGTAGACTAGAAACATATACAGGAAACTCGGGGGCAAGAAGCACAATTCACAACAAAGGAAAAATGACATTTTGTATATCTAGAATTTTGTTATACACACTATAATATAAGAAAAGGAAATGAATAGATAAGACACACAAAAACAATTGAAGAACCAAATTACATGGTTATAAAATGGAAGAACCAATTACATGTTAAATAATGCAAACCATAAACATGTTGTCTAAATTATAGTGTTCGTACATCATAGGCCTATAACGAAACAACTTCCACAAGTTATCAAACTCAAAAGTAATAACAGTATGGCATGAAGATTACCACATTACAATTTTCAAGAGGAAACTTCCGAAATTTAATTTACTTAATCCACAGGCGTTCATACATGAAAAATACATATATTGTATATGTCACTCAGAACATGTACACCGAACCAACTTTCCAACAAACAACGGATGAAAAAAATTCATTGAGCATTCAGAATTCATCAAAAGGGACATACATACTGCAAAAACGAAGTACACCCTAAAAGTCGTGGTATACTTTAAAAAACAATGCAATCTACAGAAAACCCAAAAGAGAATTTTATGTCCGTTCACCTTCAGCTCGTTTTAAAGCATTCTCTGGCTTGACAAAAGAAGCCATGGGTCGATCAAATATTTAGCTCACTCAAGGACAGCATGCAACGTCAAATGACCTGAGCAACACATGAAGAACCAGTGTGAATATAAAAAACAAACGACGGAAGTGAATGAGCATTACTAATACAACATCAAAGTGGATAATGAATAACAGAATGATAGAAATTCTGTTAATGTATAAGAATTTTATTTTGTGGGGGGGGGGGGAGTTCTCGATGAATTCACCTCATCTATGACATTAAAATAAATTTTTCAATCCAACCACAGGCCAAAACTATAGATTCAGAAACGCATAGTATTGACAAAAGAATTTAAAGAATACAAAAATTACTTATCAATGTAGTAAACTTAGACTGGTACGCGTATAATACAGGCAAGAAAGTGGTTATTATTCCGCTCACATAAGCATAATACTTCAATTAGTAACAAATTCACCCGTAAGGAAATATATACATCAAAATCGATAACCCTCCCTCGACCCAAAAGAGAGAAGATTCCAAAACGCCTTCGAAAATTTCGAGCGAGGGCACAAATGCGTAGTAGCACATATCCACAACAATCGTATTGAAGGTCGATCTCTGGGAAAAATTGGAAGGAAGGTAGTCGTTTCAAGGGGCGAAATCCAAGTTCTCGCTAACCTAATAACTCCCAAAACCATTCTAGAAAAAATATACCAAAAACATACACCTTGCAGATCCACAAAAACATAACCCGTTACATGAAATTATACGCCGAAGAATATCGAACATACCCGAGGAACCGTATGATTGTAATCTTCAGATTCAAAAAAATTCAAAAAAATTCAAAAAAATTCAAAAAAATTCAAAAAAAATTCAAAAAAAAATGAAGGCGTTCCAAATGGGCCTAATAACTTAACTCGATTGACGAAAAGTACAGAGGAAGATGGAGAAGGATAAATTGAAGGCGTACCGGAAGAAGAGGAGATAATCGACGACGGAGGTGGTGAGGAAAAGAATATTACCTCAGAGAGAGAAGTGATGTAGTGGCCGTGGCTAAGGGGAAAGACTCAAATTAGGGTTTAGGAGTCATTTTGATTTTGGGCTTCAACCAAATGGGCCTAATAATAACGGAAAGCCCATTTAAAAACCCATACATTTTGTAAAATTAAAAAAAAAAAAAAAAAAAAAAAATTGTCTTATTTGTTTTTTCTCGATGTTCAATGCTTCAATGACTTTTTTACTGTATACAATAGAATCGGTAATTAAATTTATTGATTTCTTTTAATCTTATTTCTAACTAATCAGATGATTTTAAAAATTATGAATTTATGAGACAAGAAAATAAATTTAAAGTTTATTAGATATTTTAAATTTCTGAAAAGTTTACAGGTTATTTAGAGAATTGATTGTGGTTATTGTAGAAATTATGTGTTGATATTTATGGTTGTGAGAGTGTAAAAAAGAAGGGTAGATTTAGTTAAGTGTACCCATTTTGTAGGAATTTATATATTAATTTTCACCATACAAATTACAAATAGTTTTAACAAAACCCTATTTAAAACAAAATTTACGACAGTTACAAAAATTAACACCAATTACATAGTTTTAGAAAACACTTACAAATAGCTTTACTAAGAAAAATACATGAATCGGAAGAACAATTTGTAAAGCAACAGAAATGTAGACACCCAGCTCATCTCAGCTCAGCTCAGCTCATCCACATGAATATTTGAGCAATTAAGATCAGAATAAAATTCCAAACTGGGGTACCAGAAATGAACTGTGATAGAAATTAAACAAAATGAACACGAGATTTATCTTAAGAATTGAAATTACTCCAGATATAGATTGAACATAGATAGATGCCAGCCTAAAGACTACATGATTTTCTATTCCATAAGTTCTTAAATTGAGACGCAAAAAGATTCAAACATCTATCCTTCGTCTTCTCCACAACTAACATCATAACACTTAAATAGGTTCAAAACAGGATGAAGAGCAAATCACAAGAGGAACACCTCAAAATCCAAGCTTGGTGCGGCGCCAGTGCCTTCGTTTCGCATTATACCTGAAGAACACATCAAAATGCGGTGTTACATTTAAAACTGATAAGAATAGAAATGATGAAATTACGAATGAAAACTAAAATAGAAGAGATTAAGACCTGATGGTATTGTCGGTCCTCAAGCGGATCCAGTGAGGAATGGGCCTGTTCTGTCTCATCTTCTTGGCCAACTTCTTCTTGATTCTAAAGGTCTTGTGAGACGGCTGTGCACATTAAAGGAAACTCGCATCACAAAACACAACCTCCCAAATCGAAATCAATCTGGGTAACTAAACAAATTACCAGAAGAAATTAAAAATAAAAAATCACTTCCCAAGTAAGAAACACTTACCATCTTGGATATTCAAGAATCAGCCAACGACTGCACCCCTACAACTAATTACCTGACCCATGAAGAACCATTATCAACCCATAATCCAAACGAACAAAATTAAAGAGAATTTAATTCAACATTGGAATTTAAACTGAATAAAAGGGAAATTCATTGCGTGGGACTCTCAAGTATTCACCACATCTATGATATTCAAACGAACGTACGATAGCTAAATTTCTCATCCGTGTGCCAAAATTTTAGATATAAAAACACAAATAATGGAGAAAAAAATAGATAGATATCGGAAATTATCAATCATTGCAATAAATTTAGACCGGTACTTCCACTACAAAAAGTTAAGGATTCATCCACTCGAACTACTTCGCTTTATTCTATTCACAGAACCATTACATTCATTCCACACATAAGAATAATACACAAAAATAACAACAAATTGGTCCCTCGGCTTGAAAAGTAAATTCTGATTCTAAAACGCCTTAAAAAATATTCTAGCAAGCGCAGCGCACAAATGCTATATAGCATATTGGTTCCTGGAGGTCGATTAAATCGAAATCTAAACAATCAAAACCTACTATTTATAAGGAAGAAACCCCATGTTCTCACTAAACTAATAGTTACAAGGCATGGAACTCGCAGATCTACAAAAATGTATCGAAATAGCAAGCCAAACGATCTCAAACCTAACGACTAATTATCTGAGGAACCTTAAGAAAATAATTCCCGGACTTCAGCGTTGTTCAGTTGACAAAAAAAAAACCCAAAAATATGAAAATTTGAAAATCAACTAATTTAAATTACAAGAGATCAAAGATATACCGAGGAAGAAGAACAGATATTCGATGACGGAGGAGAAATGAAGAAAGATTACCTGCGAGAGCAAAGTGAAGAAGCGGCCGTTCTAGTCGGGAAAGACCATGGATTAGGGTTTTAGGAGAATTTGTCGAGTTTGGGCTTAGAATAAATGGGCCCAATATTAGGGTTCATTGAAAATCAAATAAAGCCCACAAGTATTTCAGCCTTTTATATATATATATATATCTTTTTTCTTTTTCTTTTTTTCTTTTTAACGTTCGATTTAATTATCTGTGTTTTAACATTTTTAAAATAATTATTTGAACACAATTATTTTTAATTACATTAAAATCTTAGATTTTTCCAATAATAAATAATGTTAACTAGTAAATTAAATAAATAAAATTATTATTAAAAATTAAATCATAAATTACGAGATTTTATGACATAAATCTCGATAAAAACTTCTGTACCGAATAATTTGAAGAAAAAAAAAATAGTTAATTTCTTGCCTATAGCCATAAAGGAAAAGATATAAAGTTTTTGAAGATAAATTTTAGATCCCACTAAAAAAAGTTGCATAAACTCGATTGCCAATGTTTGTATACGTTGATCTGGTCGTGAATTACTAAGTATTTATAATACTCATTTAAAAAAAAAAATTAGATAAAGGCAAGAACGTCCTCGTTGTCTATGTTTATGTTTGCATATGCTGACTTATGTGGTCTTTCTAGCATGCATGTTACAACAATCCTATTTAATGCCGGTCTAGGAAAATGGGTTGATATAATCATTGAAATAAACTATCATCTAGCATATGCTTTTGAGCAAAGGAAAAATGTCGGTTCATCAATTTAAGCTATGATGCTAATTTAACGCTAACATCCTACGTTTATAAGGGTGTGGAAACCTCTCTCTTGTATACGCGTTTTAAAAACTTTGGGAGAAGTTCGAAAGGGAAACTCCAAAGAGGACAATATTTGCTAGCTTTGTTTGAACTATTACAAATGGTATCAGAGCTAGACGTCATGCGATGTGTCAGCAAAGAGGTTGAGCCCTGAAGAGGGTGGACACGAGGCGGTGTGTCAGCAAGGACGCTGAGCTTCAAAGAGGAGTGAATTGGAGGGTCCCACATCGATTGGAGAAGGGAAAGAGTGTCAACGAGAATGTTGGGCCTCGAAGGGGGTGGATTGTGAGATCCCTATCAGTTGGGGAGGAGAACGAAACATCCTGTAGAAACCTCTCCTTAACAGACGCGTTTGAAAGGGAAACCCCAAAAACGACAATAACTTCTAGCAATGGGCTTGGACGATTATACCAAAAAGTGAGAAATAGACATCAAAATTCCATTTTTGCCCCTAAGAGTTGGATGTCCTCATCCATGCTATTGATGTTGTCATGTTCCTTAAAGAAACAGACATCAAAATGTGGTCATCTTAACGACATCACGACCGTTTTTTCCAACACACAATAATACAAATATTAGAACCATTGGATCTTACCATTCAAACTTCGAAAAAAAAAAAACCAGAAATCTCCACCCCTTTTCTCTTTGCTTTCTTCAACAATGAATTTAGATCTCATGCCTCAAGATTGTTTTGCACACATCCTCTCGTTCGCCTCCGCTCGGGAAGCATGTCAGCTATCAATCATCTCAGAGACAATACGCTCGATGGTTGATTCAGATGTGGTATGGGATAATTTTCTCCCATTTGATTGTGCAGAAGTTTTATCGAGATTAGATACTCCAGTGATTTATCGTACGAAAAAGGAGTTATACTTCAAGTTATGTCGTCTCCATCATATGGATGGAGGTACGAAGGTACACACAAAAAAAAAAAAAAAACATGTTCGATTCATTTGTTAATATGATCGATGAGAAATGTTTTTATTTTGTAAATGCAGATGTTTTATTTAGATAAAGAGACAGCTAAGAAATGTTATATTTTAGGAGCAAGGGAACTTCAAATCCAATGGTCAAACAATCCTCTATATTGGTCTTGGAATAGTCAACCCTTCCTAAAGTCAAGGTCTTATCTGTCTCTTTGACCTCTCACATTTTTCTTAATATTTAAAAAAAAAACATAAAATTAAAAATAAATTGTGAAAGCAGGTTTGAAGAAGTTGCAGAATTGAGAACCATATGGTGGTTAGAAATAAAAGGCTTATTCAACGCCAAATTGCTTTCCCCCAAGACGCTTTACTCGGTCTATCTTTTGGTGAAGTTTGCAGACAGAGCTTATGGCTTAGACACACATCCATCTCTAGCCTCGGTTCAACTCGACACGGTCCTGTCTAAAAGAAAAGTGTATTTGAACAACGATGGTCGAGGGTCGAACAAAAGTCGGGTTATCGTTAATGGAGGCGATGACCGAGAGGAAGGCATCGACGATTGGGTCGAGATTGAGTTAGGAGAGTTTTATGTTAATGATTTGGAAGATGGAGTTGTGGAGATGTGTTTGAAAGAAGTTGAGAGCCAACATTTGAGGGGTGGTCTTATTGTTGAGGGAATTCAACTTACACCTAAGATCAAACTATTGTAATCATTTTGTACGGAAATAAGCGTTTAAAATTTATCATAAAACATAAACTTCATTTAAAAACACTATCATGGACTTACGTGTTCGAAAACATCTTTAAAATGATACAATGAAATAAATAAGTGTTAAAATTAAAAACATCATATTCTAACCTAAGTCTAAGAAAATAAGTACAATTACTCTGTGTGTCTCATGGTCTCGAATTACGATATCGTCATCAGCAGTGCAGAGATGTCTTGCTTTTACCTGAAATAGAAGTAGCACGTGACTTGAGTATTTTAAGAAATATTTAGTAAGTGACCTCACTATTGAGGTTAGATGCAAACACA